ATGATGTTGGTAATAATATTGTACTGTTGGTTCGCGGTTTGCATATCGTTGAGATGTCGTGTTGAATTTGTTAAATATTGCGATTGTGCGATTAGCTGATCGCGATCAGTTCACAGTAATCAAATTGACTGTTTTTTTAATCAGCGAAGAAAAAACGTTCAGCATCCCTTCGTCGTCTTATTTGATTTGATTTGTTGCGACAATTTAGGCAAAATTCCGCGCACTTTTTGAATTTTCCGCTGTTTGATACTTCCTCTCAGATATTGAGAATGTCCTCAAACTTTTGTGACAACCCCTGTTCTGAATTAGACATATGGGAAAGAAAACGCAAAATTTTACAGTTTTGTTTGAAGTGTTTTATCTGACGATCAGACGACGATTTTATTTTTTGTAAACATTTATATTGTTTTGAATTTTATGACGTTTGAATTTGTTTTTATGTGTTCGAAAGTGTTGAAGTAGAATCGGAACATATCATGTTCTTGTTGGACGTGATTGTAACGATTGCGTTTCATTAGTTGTGTGATGATGAGTGGTGTACGCGATTATTCATTTGTGTGATTCACGTTAAAGGTTTGTCGCTTCTTAATGTTGTTAGGAGTGAAACTGTGAAACAGCCCGAATTGACTGAGATCAATGATGGAGATGGTTTGGCAGCGGGCAGCGCAAATGTTAGCGCTGGTACGTCCATACCTACGAGTGTTGCTTCTACCAGCAGGTGCATACACGCTCTATCGCCTCATACCAGCACTCATACCCGGACCACAACATCAGTCGAAATTAGTGGTTCGTAATCGAACCGTGCTGATCACAGGCGCAAGTTCAGGCTTGGGTCGGGAATTGGCCATAAAATTCTATCGAGAGGGCGCAAAACTGATATTGACAGCGCGAAGTATCGATAAACTGAAGGAGTTGTGCGAAGAACTGAAACAAATGCAAGATGTTGAGAATGAGAATGAACCAGTTTATGAGTATTTGGATATTTGTGATGCGAATGGCTTCAACGAGATCGTTTCACTGGCAAAACAACAACCTATTGATGTGCTGGTGAATAATGCTGGTTTGAGTATGCGAGGCACTTGTAAGGACACATCCATGCAAGTCTATAGACAGGTTCGATTGCTTACTCCAGAGATTTCAATTTTGATTTGTATCGTTTTTGGCTGTCTTCTTCACATCATTTGTGCATCATCGTGACTTCGTTGGTAATCATAACAGCGATTTGGTCAAAAGTTTAGGGCAATT